AACTTTCAAACCCTTCAGTAACTCCATGCTACCATCAGGATAATATCCAATACCTCATCTCAGCCATCAAGGCCTTATAAGATTTGATCCCTCTTCTTTACTTTTATTCCATGACCTTTTCCCTTTCCCCAAATCTTTCCATACCTCACCCTAGCCATTAAGTGCTTGCACATTCCTCAAGACAAAACTGTCTTATTTACACTTGTGGTATCTAATTCCTAGGGAGCATGGCACATGCTGTCAACAAATATTGCTTTCTTTAACCTATTACTTCTTTTCCTACCCTCATACTGTTTTCATCATGTTATTACATTTCTCAGAAAGTTTCAATGACTCCCTGTTTCTTACCTTATCAAGTTCAAATTCCTTTGCTTGGCTTTTTTAACCCTCACGATCTGTCCCTCATACTAAATTTCTAGTCTTATTTCTAACTGTGCCCCAATATGCACCCTTTTTTATGGTCTTACAAATATGATATATCTATGCCTTAGCATATGCTGTTTCATTCTCTTGTAATAGATGTCTTTCTTCCAACCTCTCTCCACAAAAATTCTATCCATCCATATCCTCTCCTTATAAAGTCATCTTTGACTAATTTTTTTTCTTAATACGTCAGCACTCATAGACTTAGGAGATTTTCTAATAGGAAAAGACTTTAAAAATGGACTGTTCCCTGTTTCTGTTTCACACGATACACACCTATATAGTGTGTATATATCATAGTGTGTGTATATCATAGTGCTGAGCTCAGAACAGATGATGTAGTGCTTTGCTCCATCTAAAAAATGTATACAATCTAGGGCTATAGTTGTTTGCAATATGTAGATATTAGTCAGTTTGAGGTGGCAGACTATGAAAAAAGAAAATTTTAATTTCATAATATTTAGAAAATGGTTAACATATTAAGTGGGGGACAGATAGGGTTACAACAGGCCAGAGGTTGAGACATTTCTGTTGTTTAAACCTAGACTAGCCTAAGCTCACAGAGGTATTTCAAAAATAAAGAGTTTAGGTAAAAGACTGTTCACTGCCCACTCATTTTTTGATCACTGCAAAGTTCAGTTAACTACTCCAGTGAGATTCCCTTAAATGATATTCAGAACGTTGTGGTGAAGGAGAGGCAATCAGTTCCCTATTATTCTTTTAAGGAACATTCTATCTCTTATCTTCCAATTTCCTCTTGCTCTGCCACTCCTAGTACAGTTCCTTTAAAGAATTTAAATCATTTTTTAACCTCTTTATGAAGTTTAAATTCTTAGCCAGTTATGTGCATCAATGAGGTAAGTTATATTATAAACCCTGCCAAAATAGAGTGATTGTGAGCTTTTCTAATAAACACTTTCTTTGATCTTTCTTCCCCTACCTCCAACAGCTATCTGCCTAACCATGAACCAAGTTTCAAAAAAACCTTGATATACAAATACATTTGTGATACCTAATACATCTTTTAGATCGAATGTGAAAACCTCTGCATTGTGCCAGAATGTCCTTTATTTTGCAGCAGGTTTAATGAAATCCTAACTATTGCTTAACCCTGAGCATGGACACTAGCAGATTTATTTCTGGAAAACCGTGACATCTGGAGAATATTTTCTAGCTATTTATGTAATCAGTGATTAGAGGTATCTCCTCAAAGCAATTTTTCTAATATGTAAGCTTTTTGAGATCAGGGGCCGTAGTTTATTTTTTTATCACTAGTGCCTACTATAGTGCCTAATATAGTAGGCAGTCAATCTCTATTGACTGAGTGAATAAACTGGTACAAAGACCAGTCTCTACCCAGCAGAAGACTCACAGTTTAACATAGAAATGACACAGATAGCAGCTGTCATCATCATCGTCATTAAAAATATTTATTGCCGGGGCGCCTGAGTGGCTCAGTGGGTTGGGTCTCTTCCTTCAGCTCGGGTCGTGATCTCGGGGTTCCAGGATCGAGCCCCGCCTCGGGCTATCTGCTTGGCGGGGAGCCTGCTTCCCCCCTCTCTCTCTGTCTGCCTCTCTGCCTCCTTGTGATCTCTGTCTGTCAAATAAATAAATAAAATCTTAAAAATATATATTTATTGTCTAAAAATATTTATTATCTAATTTTACTAGCGTTTATAAAAAGAATATTAACATCAATATTAACATCATTCTCTTAGGATAAAAACTTTGAAAGAATTCATACAACAAATTTTTATTGAGCACTTGCTGCGTACTAGCTCTGTACCAGCACTGGGGATACAATGGCAAATAAGGCAAACAAAAATCTCTGCCTTTGGGGAGCTTAAATTTAAATTGGGGTGAATACCAATAGCAAAATACCTATTATCTTAGTGATAAGTGCTAAGGAAAAAAATCAATATTGAATTCAGAATATGAAGTGGGAGTGTTGAAGTTTTAGATAAAATGGGTAGATAGGGAAGTCCTCATGCAACTAACTTTTGAATAAAAAGATGAAGGCAGAAAGTAAAGATATGAAATAAGGTCATATTTCTAAAATAGGAGAAGAAAGGTGAGGTGAGGAGAACTAGTGTTATGTGTAAAAGGGTAGATGTTACACTAGCCCACTTCCACATGTAGCATTGAGTATTGGGTCTCACTGCCATCATACATCAGTGCTTTGGGACTCACTGTATGCAGTATGCCTAGACAGCCCTATGGTTTTAATTAGTAGGAGTGCTGAGGAAATGGATTGTAGAATGAAGCAGAACAAATAAAGCACTTAAACTAGTGTCAGGTGGGAGGTCACAAAGCTGCTTCAGCAGCTTTTGCTAGTTTGAATTCGTACATCCAAACGAAAGAAAGAAGGTGCTCTTAGAAATTATTGTACTACAGAATTAGAAAAGAAAGTAACAGGAAAAATGAAGCGAGTAGATTTGAGAATCTGGAAGAGATTAATAAGAAAAGACAAAAAAGAAGACCAGCAATACAAAGGACCAATGGTGAGCTGGAGAGGTCCAAAGTGAATGTGGAACATGGTGGGGGGGTGTGTGTATGTGTGTAACTTGCATTGTTATGTTATGGATTTGGTCATGTCCCCTGCAAATTCCTATGTTTAAGACCTAACACCCAGTGTCTCAGAATTTAACCTTACTTGAAAATAGGGTCATTGTCGATATAATTGAAGGTGAGGTCATACTAGAGTAGTTGGGCCCCTAATCTACTATGACTGTCATCCTTATTAAAAAAAGACACCACATTCGGACATGCCGTGTGTGAAGATTGTGGAGTAATGCCACTATAAGCCAACGACCTATCAGAAGCTAGGAGAGGTTGGAAGAGATACTTCCTTAGTGCCCTCAGATGGAGGATGGCCCGGACAACACTTTAATTTCAGACTTCTGGCCTCTGGAACTGTGAGACAATTTCTATTGTTCTGAGCCAGACCTTTTGTGATACTTAGTTACCAGCAGCCCTAGAGAACTCATTTAGCATGTGAGATTATTTTAAGGCCAACAACAAAAGCATCCTTCTATCACGGAAAGGGAAAGTACGTGTGAGTGATGTACCTGATTGTCTTAGGGATCAGAAAGACCTCATGGCTTGGACATCTGTAATTAAAATTGTATTTTCTTGTTTCACCAAACCTCTCTTTTTAATTATCGCGTTTCATTTTTGTTTTCAGAAAACTCACATGAAATCTGCTCTGCTTAACGAATTACAAGGCACTTCTGGCCTTTGTGCTTATAGTATCATACAAACGGTAACTGATCTGACCTTAAGAGAGGGTCACGGCTTAAGCGAGGGAAAGCGCCTTTTATCGGCATTGAATTCAAAAAGTTGAAAGGGAAAAGCAACCTGGTTTCAGCTATGCAGCATCTCTCTTCCACAGGTTGTACTGCTGACGGCGGCCCTCTTCCCCGCAGGAGCGCGGCCGTTGCTGCCTGGGGAGAGCGACCTGACTCCTCACAACTAGCAGGGGTCAGGGCAAGGCAGGGTACTGAGAACACGGTTTCCTGCAGCCTCCTCCCGCAGGGCAGAGGAACGAAAACCAGCCCCTTGCCTGTGCGCATGCTCAGTCAGGAGTGCGCCGTCCACCGAGCGCGCCCGGGCTCAGTTTTCCCCGCAGCTGAGGAGGCGCCCGAAACCGGCCGCGGCCGGGCGGACCGAGGAAACTCCGGCGGGCGGGCCGGCTGGGCGGGGCTGCCGTTTACTCAGCCCGACTTTCATTCTCCTGCCTTGGTAACCCTGTTCCCGCCACCGTCAAAGGGAGTGGGGCGGAGCTGTGCACAGACCGGTAGGGTGGAGCCCGAGGGCACCGTAGTTAAATGGCTTTTCAGGCTTCTCCGGGGAATGGAAGGCCGCGTTTCTCTAAGAACACACTCCCTGAGAAAACCCTGGGGCGATCGCTCTTCTCGACTGCCCAGACGACTGTTTTTAAACTAGTCTCAGCCAAGACAACCCCACTATCCCACTGCTGAGCCCGCTGAGGTTAATAGCCCTCCCAGCGACCCCACAGACTGCTTGGAAATCGGGCGTCCCCAGGAACCTATCTGCCAGAGGCACTGGCTTCGTCGTCTATACGTCCATTCCAGCTTCGTTTCAGGATGTCCGCCCTGCTTCCCCCACCCAAGCGTCTCCTCCGGGAAATTCCCGCCTGTACAGCAGGGCTGTCCCGTAATGAACACGGGCCCGTTTTCCGGGTGTGGGTTGGCGGGGTCGGGGAGCAAGCCGGGTCAAGCCAGCCAGTAGCATTCGGGACTCAGTATACTCGCGCTCTATCCTCTCTGGCCCATCCACCGCACCTCAAGCGATCGCCATCAAGGCGGGGCGCGGCGGCTGCAGCTGGTCCGCAAACACGCCCACCCGCACGCTCAGATTCACTTGCCTCGGGGGCGGGGGAGGGGAGAAGGGGTGACGGCACTGAGCATGCTCTGTGGAGAGGGCGGGGCCCTCCCGGGCCGCGAGTCCAGGCAGGCGCTCCTCAGGCCGGCTAGGCGTCCCCGCCGCCCGCCCGCTCGGAGCCGCGCCCGCCGCAGGCTGCGCCCGCCCCGCCCCGCCCCGCCCCGCCCCCCGCCGCTCGTCCCCGCCGCGGCCGCGCCGCCTGCAGCAGCAGCAGCGGCAGCAGCTGCTCCTCCCTGGCGGCCGCCCCCCGTGGGTCCCTCCCTGGCTGCGGGAGAGACTGAGGTAGAGGGAGGACACAGCGCCGCGCCGCCCTCACCAGAGACCTTCGCCTCGCCCTGCTGGCTCCTCACCCTCTGGGAGAAACATGGGTAAGTCATCCTTCCTCCCCCGCCATCGCCTGACATTTTTCTGTTTCTCGGCGTGTTGCAGGGTGGGAAGCATTTCTCGCGCAAAGTTGCTGGATTTCTCCAATCCACGCGTGTAATACAGTGGCTCTTCCTCCGGAGAGAGTCGGCGCACGCGGAACGCACGCAGGTCCCCGGGCTGGGAGGGTCCCGAGCGCGGGGTGCGGTCGGGCCCCGGGGCGGACCGCCGCCCGGCTCTCGGGCACCTCGCTGCCGCGCCTCCCCTCCTCCATTCTTCCTGCCCGAGCGGGTGCCCCGGCACCGCGGAGCCTGCCTCGCGGGCTAGCATCCTCTGCCCCATCCCCGGGTCTCCGGAGGCCACCCGCTTCCTTTCCCCGGCGTCTGCTGGTGTAGAGGCTCGGTCCGACCGCGAGAGAGACCACTTCGCGTAACTTCCCTGTCAGGGCGACCTTTCCCCATTTTGAGGACTGTTCATCCCGAGGCGGGGAAGTGAGAGCAAGTAGTTTGTCAGGGCGATTGTACAACCTGCGCGGAGATTATTTTTGATGGGGGAGAACGGACAGTCTCATAGGTTGAAAGGATGACTTGTCAGAGGCCACGAGGAACGTGAGGAGGGATGGATAGAACCGCTAGCTGTTGAATTCGTGTTGGGCGACTACAGTGTGCAATATTGCTGTGCTCAACCCATTTTTTCGGTTCCTTCGCATGTCTGCTGTAGGAGGAAACGCACCCTGTAACATGTTACCGAACTTACATGTTAGTTATTTTTTCCCAGCTTTCCCTGCCTTAATCTACATAATCTGATTTTAGTTGCTTTGTATGCATGGTTAATCTCAAGAAATTGTTTTGGGTGAGATACTTAAAACCAAATATGTTTTATAAACCTACATATAATTTATCTTAAAAATTTTTCATAACATATTGCTGAAGTTTTAAGTTCAGTAATTACAAAAACGTCTGATGAGTTCTGTGATTAAAAGACGATTTTTTTTTTTAATAGTAGCAATTTGGAATACCATACTTCGACATGTTCCTAGTTTGCTTCCACTCCTGTTATAATTTCCTCTTTTTAAAATTTGCTGCATTCGCATCTGTCAACTCGGACTTTTTCCACCCCTTCCGTGCAAGTTATTTTAAGCCTAAAATGATTGTGTGGTTCTTTTTATCTGTCAGTACAGTGCTCAACACGTCTAGAGTTCAGTCACGGCAACTTAGAATCTTCAAGGAAGTATCTAAATCTAGAAATGGTGTCGATGGAGCTTACTGGAAAAGCAGATCCTCCAAGCTCTGTTTCAGACCTTTGGCCATATATTGGGAAGAGGCTAGTGTTGGAGGAGGAGGTGGTATTAATGAAAAATGAATCTATGGCCCTGAATTTTATTTTCAGTTCGGTTCCCCCCTCCCTTTAATGTACTGTTGGTATGCTAAACAAATTTATGTAAAATTGGGTGACCCATACGGACCTAGCTTTTCTCTAGGAGTAGAATTTTAAATAAGTATTAATTCAGATTATTGAACACATTGTGAATTTTCCCTGAACATAACAAATTTTTTCTCCTTAATTATAGGCCACAAGTTTGGCCTTTAAAATACATTTACCCATATTTCAAGGTGAGCTAAAAAATCCATTTAAATAAAATTTTAACTTACATGTTGAGTCAGAATCTTTTCAGTAAAAAAAATTCAGTTCTTTTGCAATACTTAAGAATGAAAATACTTAAAATTATTTATTTAAAAATAACTGATCTTCAAAATCTTGAATGTTATTGCTTGATTTCAAAGAATGTTCAGATAGAAACCCATCTCTCATATGAAGCTTCTCAGATATTCTTTGATTAAATCAGTCTCCTCATAACACTCTGTACCTTGTTGGAAGCTTTTTACAACTTACATAATCTGCCTTATAATGGAGTTGTTTATGTGTGTGTGTTGTGCATTTAGTCATGAGTTCCTGAAGATGTGAATTATGTCTTAACTAATTTTGGGGTACCCCATAGTGCTTTCAACATGGTAGATATTCAATAAATCTTTGGTGAGTTCACTGTTGAACTTAAAACCTATCTATTATTTTCAGTTATGAACCTGAAAGTATTGGCTCTGAACATTCAGGTTGGTAGATACTATGGAGGTTTGGAGGAATTGGGAACAGAGAAGTATAATTATACTACGAGTCCTCTTCTTACTAAAAAAAAAAAAAAAAAAAAAGAAGAAAGTTGGGTTGTCTCAGAGGTATGGGTTTTGGGGTGGCCTCTAGGCAAATCATTTCCTTCTACACTGCTGTCTTCCATGGTAAGGAGGTTTAGTGTTTGGTTACTAGGTATATGCAATAACATAAAATTGAAACCTTGTGAAGTAGTTTCATATTTGGAGCCAAGGAAGTTACAACAATTGATACATACATAAGAGGTATCCTGACTGATGATGGGAAAGAAATCACTTTTTAAAGTCTTTCTAAGAAATAAATAAGGTGATTAAAAAAAATATTCTCATGGCAGTGATTTCTCTCTGTAAGAAAGTGAAGAAAACTTCCTGTATTGTCTTATGGGCCATGGCTGTAATAGATATTTTATCATAAATTCACTGTGTACTTAATATTTATTGAATATCACCCATGTACAATGAATTGTGGGAGGACAGAGATAAGACATACTTCAAGTTGCATATAACCTTAATAGGAACAATATGATACGTACACAGATAGCTGTAATAGAAATAAAGTATAAGTGATATAAAAGACCTTTACATGTATTATAGATTCAGGGCACGGAGAGAAGGTTTTAGAAGAGGGATGTTATTTGAACGAAAGGTTGATTAAGCTTTTGAAAGGTAGAAATGAATGGAGACTGTTAGGATGGGGTTAGCAGGAGAGATAATTGCACAAATGAAGACCTAGAGATAGAGACCACTCAAGGATGATTAAATAGCCATGTTTGGCTGGAGCAAAAGGTAAGGTAAGAGTGGGTGGCAGAGAAAAAAAAGTATTTGTAGGTAAAGACCAGATAATGGAGGACCTTAAATGCTAAGTTGAGGTTTTTTGGACTTTGACTTGTCTGTTGAGGGACTATGAAACATTTTTATGTAGTTAAGTGATGGCTCACATCTGTGGTTTAGAAAATTAATCTGTTAATTGATTGAAGGATGGGTTAGATGAAAAAATAGAGAACACTTCAGAAGGTGTTTGTTGTAGTTTGGATGAAAATATTTACCAACCAGAACTAGGCTGTGGAAGTGGAAATAGAATGTTGCAAATGAAGAACAGGATTTACTTGCCAACGAATGGAATATAGAATTGAGAAAGACATATAGTATCGCCTGGGCGATAAAGAAAATGCAGAACTATTAATATATATTTAATCCATTGGAAGAGGAAATATGAACAGTCAATTTTGGACCTGATGAGTTGGACATTTAGATTCTCTGCTCATTGATGACAAGGACTCTCATTAGGTTTTGAATACATTTTTAACATTAGTTTCTGGCACATAGTAGCCATGCAGTAAAAGTTTGTTGACTGACTGAAACTAGGTAAGAAAATATTTAGGTAAAAACTAGGTAAAAAGAAAAAAATTTAACAAACAGTTATTTAAACTTTTAAGAGAGGATTTGAACAGGAAGTTATCCATAAATATCCTGAGATGATATTTCAAGTTAGGTTGGAGGCTGAGAGGCAACAGGGAGAAGAAAATTTGTCCAAGGTTAAGAATCTTGAGGAATGACCCATTGTTGGGGAAGAAGAATGGAATGAGACTGAACGACACTGAATGACAGTGAAAGAGAAGTAGGTAGGAGTGAAAGACCAGAATTGGCCTGTGGCTAGTTTCATTAAAGACTAAATGGTCAATAATGCTCGTTGCTTTGGGACAGAGTGGTAAGGACTGAGAAAAGGATCTGTGTTGATAGGGTTTGATTAGGATATTACCCAGGATATTTTCTAAAAAGCAGCTTTAAAAGGTGTAGTAGATATGGAGGTCAGTTGTAGAGGCTGAGTAACAAGTAAGTGGAACTAAAAATTCACCATGTATTCATGCTATATATCCCTTGACCTATTTGAAGATATGTTAAGTAAGCATAGGTTTCTTTAAACATTTTTAAAACGTTGCACTTTACATGGAATGACACATGCTATTTTCTTGCCTGAGAATAATTTGTAATTTCACCATAGTGCTTCACATTTCTTTGACATTCCGTTTTTATGTCATTATGTCTTAGTATAGTATACTTTTTATGCTTGGAATATCTGTTGTGCAGAGTGAGTTTAGAAATGGTTTTATAATTTTACATGGCATTTTACCTAAAATACACTCTTTACTGATGAATGGTTTTATTACTTTTTATTTACTATTAGATTTTGTGAATTTGGGATTTCTCTACTTATATTTATGTCTCTTACTATACTCTTAATTCCTGGAGTTTTTTTTTTTCTCTATAAATATATATTAGCTTTATAGAGAAATTTTCCCCCCTCTTTTATTTTTAAGTTCAGGAATGGTTTCACAGATAAATGTAGAAAATAGTACTTTTACTTGTTTTTTTGTGAATTAGAGTGATACTTTTTTTTTTTGTAAAGTGGTAATCAAATTTATTATTTTAGAAGAGCATAAATGACAGATTGCCTAGTTCAGCAATTTTCCTTATGTTGGCATTATATCTGTGTCCCATATATCTATTTCAGATGGGAAAAGGGTTAAATTCAGTATCTTTGGTAGAGTCATATTCTGAAGTCTCTAGTACTACTATATGGGAAGTTAGGATAGCCCGAATTCATTTTGAGAACTGTTGGGTTTTAACTTTCACAATGGAAGTTTCTGGGTGCCTTTGGGGAAAATAGTGTGGCTTTCCTCTTCAGAGATTCCAGGTCACCTGAATTTGGGCAATTCTGGTGTTATTGGTGGCACCAGCAGTGGCCATAAGAATTACCCAAATTTTTAGGAGTGACTTGGTGGCTCAGTGGGTTAAGCCTCTGCCTTTGGCTCAGGTCATGATCTCGGGGTCATGGGATTGAG